ATTCCCATGGATTTATGGTGGATTTCCCTGGATTTCTGTGCCATTCCCATGGATTTCTGTTCTATTCCCATAGATTTATGGTAGATTTCCAGGGAATTTCTGTGCCATTCCCATGGATTTATGGTGGATTTCCAGAGAATTTCTGTGACATTCCCACGGATTTATGGTGGATTTCCCTGGATTTCTGCTCTATTCCCATGGATTTATGGTGGATTTCCAGGGAATTTCTATGCCATTCCCATGGATTTATGGTGGATTTCCAAGGAATTTCTGTGCCATTCCCACGGATTTCTGCTCTTAAAACCTCCCCCACCATTCCCACCCCAAGCACCGACGGCAAACCCGAACTGCCCCGGCTGAGAACCGGGAGACGCGGATTCCCACCTCCCGCCCTCAATGCCAGGGGATTCCCGGGAATTCCCGGGAATTCCCGGGGCACTCACGTGGGCCACGCGGATGCCGGTGCCGAAGGTGATTTTGCCCTTGGGCTGCACCGTGTGCAGCTTGGACAGGATGCGCCCGGTGTCCGGCGTCAGCGTGGTCAGCACCTCGCAGTTACTGCGGGAGAGAGCCGGGAATGCCTGGGAATTCCTCGGGAATGGGCAGGGAATTCCTTGGGAATGGGCAGGGAATTCCTCGGGAATGGGGCAGGGAATTCCTCGGGAATGGGGCAGGGAATTCCTCGGGAATGGGCAGGGAATTCCTCGGGAATGGGCAGGGAATTCCAACAGGGAATGGGCAGGGAATTCCTCGGGAATGGGCAGGGAATTCCCACAGGGAATGGGGCAGGGAATTCCTCGGGAATGGGCAGGGAATTCCAACAGGGAATGGGCAGGGAATTCCAATAGGGAATGGGCAGGGAATTCCTCGGGAATGGGGCAGGGAATTCCTCAGGAATGGGCAGGGAATTCCCACAGGGAATGGGGCAGGGAATTCCTCAGGAATGGGCAGGGTCCTCAGGAATTGGACAGGGAATTCCCTAGGAACCAGGCAGGGAATTCCTCTCGAACTGTACAGGGAATTCCTCAGGATACAGGCAGGGAATTCCTTGGAAGCTGCACAAGGAATCCCTTGGGAATGGGGCAGGGAATTCCTTGGGAACCGCAGAGGGAGTTCCCTTGGGAACTGGGCAGGGAACGATTCCTGGGAATTGCGCAGGGAATCCCCAGGTCCCAAATCCCAGATCCCACATCCCAAATCCCGATCCCAAATCCCAGACCCCAGCTCCCAAATCCCAGATCCCACATCCCAAATCCCAGATCCCAGCTCCCAAATGCCGATCCCAAATCCCAGATCCCAGCTCCCAAATGCCGATCCCAAATCCCAGATCCCACATCCCAAATCCCAGATCCCAGCTCCCAAATCCCAATCCCAAATCCAAACGCCGATCCCAAACGCCGAGCCCGCCGCCGCACTTGGCCAGGGTGATGAGCCCCACGTTGTTCTCGGGGTTGCTGCGGGTCTTGGAGTGGCAGACGATGTTGACGGCGTCCTGCTGCGCCTGCAGCCGCGTGGGCAGGAAGTCCCCGTTCCGCATGTACTCGCTGTTGTCCACGCTGCAATTCCCAAAAAAAAAATGGGAATGGCTCGGGGCAATCCTGGGAATTCCCTCTGCCGGGGTGGCTGGGGTTTAGCTGCCTAAAATCTGCTTTATTTCAGGGCAAAAGGAGATTTGTTCCCATGTGAAATGGGTTTCTATGGGCACTGCGAGGTTTATCCCTAAACTCTCATTTTTGGGGCCGGCC